GTTCTTTGTTCTCTTTTCTTCTTTTGTCTTTTGGATTGAGTTTTTTCATTTTTGTTTTTATGATGTTTCTGTAGACTTATTAGCTATCACACTTTTGTTAGTAATTGCTTAGGGTTATCAGTATACCTATTTAAATTATTAGTTTGCTTTCAAATGATATGATATCACCTTATGTGTAGTATAAGAGCCTTTCAACAGTATATTTTCATTTACCCTCGCCTGCCCTTTGTGGTTTTGTTATATACATTTTACCTTTACATATGTCAAAAATCCCACATTACCTCATTATTTTTTGTTCAAATAGTCAATTATCTTCCAGAAAATTTTAAATAAATAATAGGGAAAATTTTATACATTCACTCACCTAGTTACTGTTGTTGGTGATCTTCATTCTTTTGTGTAGATTAATATTTTCATTAGGTATGATTTTCTTTCTACTCAAGTACCTTTTTAAACTTTTTTTTGGTAATACAGATCTGCTGGTGATAAATTCATCAACTTTTGTATTTCTGAAAAGGTTTTTGCCTTTATTCTTGAAATATATGTTTCCTTTCTATAGAATTCTAGACAGTTTTCTTTTTTAAATTTCAGCATTTTTAAAATTTCAGGTGCTTTTTCTCACCTTGATTGGTTTCAGTGAGAAATCTGTTGTCATTCTTATCTTTGGTCTTCTCTATGTAAACATGCTTTTTTCTCTTGATGGTTTCAATATTTTCCTGTTATTATTGGTTTTGCGAGATTTGATTATGGCGTTTGCTATAGTTTTCTTCATGTTGTGTGCTTAGGTTTTTTATTTTTATATTTTTTGAAATTCTTATATGCATGTGGGTTTACAGTTTTCATCAAGCTTGAAAAGTTTTCATCCATTGTTTTCTTAAATTCTTTTTCTGTTCACCCCATTCTGTGGACTTCAATTAAATGCATATTAAAGAGTGATGTCACCAAAACGACAGAATAGAAGACCTCAGCCTCTGTTCCCCAACAAAAATCAACAATTAGACAGCTACTCATGAACAGAAATAGCTCTGGGAGATCTTAGAAGTCCACTTAAGAAACTTGGCAACACAGTGAAACAAAATGCCTGAGAATACACAAAAAGAGAAGGAAGAGCAACTTAATTTTGCTTGCATTGTCCCATCTCCCAGGCTGAAACTGCTCATTGCTAAGAGGGAATTCCCAGGCTCAAAAGAGTTCCCCTTGCCAGGAGAGAAGGGTGGCTGATCAGCCTCCCCAGCCTTTTGTGGTCACTGCACAAAGAAGGACCCACTTTGGATTCACCCCACCCAGAGGCCAGAAAAGCTAAGATGAATAGAAGACGACTTAGAACAGGAAAAGGGCAGTGGAAACCAGTACGAGCTACATGGTGGGAGTGACCACAGTTCCCAGGGGCATACTCTGCAGGGGATCCCAACAGCTTTTGCAACTGAAGGAACCAAAGGTCAGCACAGCCGTCATGGAGGCCCTGCAGATTTCGCCACTGATGTTTTCTTCCTATAAGTCTCATCTTTGCAGATGCCAACAGCTTGAATACCTCTCTCCTCCCTCCTCCCTACCCTCTAGCCCTCACTGGAGCCCAGGATCCACTGACCAGCCAGCCCTGACCTCTTTAGCTGCACAGGTACAAGACACCATCCTAGACCACTGCAGCTCACCGCCACTGCGCTGTGCACACTGTGAGCTAGAACCTCCAGCTGTGCACCTGCATGCCACTCACCTGACTCCCATCACAGGCCTCCATGCCATATGTTTACCTGTGATGAGACCCTGTAGCCATAGTAGGGCACTCTGACAGCCAGGTCCCCCTCCGCCCAGGCTGCTTGTGGGCCCAGATCCAGCCCTCTCTCTTGACACTGGTATGCGCTGTTGGGCTCACCTACAGCTAACCCAACCATCTGTGCATTTGCATGCCCCTGATCCTGCTGCTGTTACTGGTCTGCACTGTGTGTGCCAGTGGTAATGCCCAGCAGCCATGGGAGTGCATGTTGACAGCAAGTGTCCCCACACCTGTTGTGTCTGTGCAGTTGACCACAGCCATTGCTGCTGGCCCTGGCCCTCAACACTGTATGTGTGTCTGCAACCAGCCCTTGTCACTACACAGGCACCTGCAGCCAGCCCTGCAGCTGAGTGTGTGTACATCATCATACAGGCCATGCCTGCTGCCTTTCCTTGTCCCTAACTGGTGGACTTGGAGGTGCTCCAAAACACCCCAACAGCCCTTGAAGCCTCTGCAGACCCCTTCTACAGTGCTCTCTAAGAACTATGCAGTGTCGATGTCATGAATCCCAGCAGCCTGAGCAATCAAGACATCACAACCCCCAGACCCAGAGACACCACATACTCTGGTGCTTAGTGCCCTGCAGTACTAGACCCAAGGTCACAGCACGCTTTTCTGGACCCCACTCCACGGATGAAGGTCTTCCTAACTGAAGTCAGTCTACAGAGACTGGAAGAGGTGACTGCTTCTTTAAACGTGCAGACACCTACGCAAAGCTACAGGGATAACAAAGCATCAAGGGAAACATGACACCAACAAAGAAACACAGTAAACCTTCATAATCTGATCCCCCCTCAAATGGAGATACATTAATTGCCTGACAAAAAATTCAAAATAATTGTTATAAAGATGCTCAGAGAGCAACAAGCAAACACACATAAACAATTCAAGAGAATCAGGAAAACAATACAAGAACAAAATGAGAAGTTAGCAAAGGGATAGGAGCATGCAAATGAACTAAACAGAAATTTTGGTGCTGGAGAATACAGTGGCTGAACCAAAGAATTCAATAGATAGCTTCAACATCAGACTAGACCAAGCAGAAGAAAGACATGGTGAAACTTGAAGACAAATACTTGGAAATCCAGTCTGAGGAGCAAAAGGAGAAAAGAAAAAAAAAGGAAGAAAACTTATGGGATTTATGGGATATCATTAAAAGAAATAATCTATGCATGCTTGGAGCCTCAAAAGGAAAAGAGAGGGAGAAAGGAGCAGAGAGCTTATTAAAAGAAACAATGGCAGGACTTCCCTAGTTGCGCAGTGGTTAAGAATCCGCCTGCCAACGCAGGGGACACAGGTTTGAGCCCTGGTCCGAGAAGATTCCATATGCTGCAGAGCAACTAAGCCCATGCACCACAACTACGGAGCCTGTGCTCTAGAGCCTGTAGGCCACAACTACTGAGCCCGTGCACCACAACTACTGAAGTCCTCGCATCTAGAGCCCATGCTGTGCCACAAGAGAAGCCACCTCAATGAGAAGCCCGCGCACCACAACAAAGAGTAGCCCCCGCTCACCACAACTAGAGAAAAGCCTGCGCACGGCAATGAAGACCCAACACAGCCAAAAATAAATAAATATATTTTTTAAAAAAAGGAAAAAGAAACAATGGCTAAGAACTTTCAAAAGCAGGGAGAGATTTGGAACTCATATGTCCACAAATTCAACTCGAAGAGATCTTCTCCAAGACACATTATAATAAAACGGTCAGAAATCAAAGACTCTTGAACGCAACAAGAGAAAAGAAGCTTGTCATTTAGAAGAAAAGCTCGTAAGTCTGTCAGTGAGTTTCTCGGCAGAAACCTTAAAGGACAGGAGAGCGGAATGACATATTAAAAGTGCTGAAACGAAAAAAAGAAAACGGTCAACCATGAGTACCTTATCTGGCAAACTTGACCATCAGAAATGAAGGAGAAATAAAGACTTGTCCAGAAAAATAAAAGCTGAGTCATCACAACTAGACCTGCCTTACAAGAAACACTGAAAGGAATTCTTAAAGCTAAAGTTAACAAATGCTAATTGGTAACATGAAAACATATAAAAATTAAAACACATTTGTAAGGTAGGTATATAGTCAGATTCAGAATACTTCAATACTGTATATATTAGTGTGCTAATCAATCACTTAACTCTAGTATAAAGGTTAAGGGGCAGAAATCTTAAAAACAGCTATAGCAACAATAATGTGTCAATGGGTACACAGTATAAAAAGATGTAAACTATGACACAGAAAACATAAAATACATGTAGGGGAGTAAAAGAGCAGATTTTTTATATGCGATTGAAGTTAAGATATAATCAGTTTTAAATAGCCTGTTATGTCTATAGAATGATTCGTGTACAGGGCAACAGCAAAGCAAAAACCCGCAGTAAATATATGAAAGAAAGCAAAGGGAATCAAAGTATAATAGTATGGAAAATCGTCAAGTTGTAAAGGAAAACAGCGAGAGGAGAAGAAAGGAACCTCAAAACTTCCAGAAAACAATTAACAAGATGTCCGTAGTAAGTACTTACCTACTAATTACATTACATATAAATAGATTAAATTCAACAACAAAAGAAGACACACAGTGGCTGAATTGCTAACAAAACAAGACCCAACTATATGTTGCCTACAAAAGACTCACTTCAGCTTTAAGGACACACATGGGCTCAAAGTGACGCAATAGAAAAAAATAGTCCGTGCAAATGGAAAACAAAAGAGAGCAAGGTAAACTGTATTTATTGTCAGGCAAAATAGACTTCAGGTAAAAAAAAAAACTGTAATAAGAGACAAGAAAGATCATTACACAATGATAAAGGGTCAATTCATCAAGAGGATATAACAATTATAAAGATATATGTACCCAACATCAAAGCACCTAAATATATTATGCAAATACTAACAGCTTTGAAGAGAGAAATAGACAAAATGCAATAATAGTAGAGGACTTCAATACCCTGCTTTCAATAATGGATAGATCATCCAGACAGAAAATCAGTAAGGAAACATGTATACTTTAGACCAAATGGACAGATGCAGATATATACAGAACACTCCATCAAACAGCAGCAGGATAAACACTCTTCTCTAATGCATTCCTAGTTGTGTTCATCTCCCCAAACTCTTGGTTTCATCTCCTCAACACAGGAAATGTTCTGATCTTTCTTTCTGATCTATGAACTGGAGTCTCATTTAAGTCAGTAGGCTCAGGCAATTGTAGAGCTGACTTTGTTTGTCTTTTTCAGGAATTATTCTTCTTTGTTGCGTGATATCCAGCGTCTTGAAGATCATTGCTTCATGTATTTTTTTTTTCCTGGTTTTTGGTGACTATGAAGAAAAATAGAGCAAGGTAGGGGATGGAGATCAACGTGGAATAGAGTATAGATTTGGATAGGCTGCTCAGGACCGTCTATGAGGGCTTAATTTGAAGAAACGATGAAGTAACAGAAGGAGTGAGCTACGAGGCTATCTTGGGGAAGAATGTTTCAGGTGGAAAGGTAAGCAAATTTAAGAACAGGGGTGGGAAAATGACTGGCTCAGCAGAGAACACGTGGAGGTCAATGTAGCTTGAGTCACTTAACGGGGCTGAGAAGATGAGAATGGAGAGAGCCAGGTGCTCAAATAATAGGAGACACATAGGAAGGAAGGACTTTGGGTTTCACTCTCAGTGCGATGGGAAGCAATTGTAAGATTTTTAGCAAGGGTGTATGTTTAGAAGCAAGAGATTTAACACTTTAAAAGATAACACTAGTTGCTATATAGAAAACTGATTGTAAGTGAATGCTTACTACCCTTGTCTATATTGGATTCCAAAGGGATCAAGAATAGAATCCAATTTACACAAGGGTAGTAGCATTGGAGGTGGTAATAAATGATTCAATCCTAGAATATTTTAAAGGCGATGCTGAAAAGATTTGGTAGATTGAATGTGAGGTATGAGACAAAGAAAGGAGTAAAGATGTATTCCCAAGATTCCAGCCTAAATGGTGGTCTCTTTTCCTAACATCGATAGCAACAGAGAGAAGAGTGATGTTGGGGAGAATTAAATTATGTTAAGTTTGAGATGCAAGTGGAAATGTCAAGTTGGTAGTTGGATATTCAAGCCTGGAGTTCACAGAAGATGTTAAAGGGGCATCACTAGGAAGTGTGAGGCTTAAAGAAGCCCAGGGACTGAATTGTGTTGCTTTCTAAACTTTAGAGGCTGGAGAATTGAGGCTGAATCAGCAAGAGACCAAAAAGGAGCAGCCAGTGAGATGGGACAAAACACAGGAAAGCGTGGAATCGTGAAAGCCTGGCACTCAGAAAGCATTTCAAGTACTAGGAAGGGATCAACCTTATCGAGTGTTACAGAGAGATCGAGAAAGATGAAAACTAAGAATTGATATTGGATTATTCAACATGCAGGTAGGTCTTCAGGGATAGTTCCTTTCTTATTATCTCACAAGCCTCAAATATTGGAGGCATTGCATTTATTAAATTAAATTCAGGTGAGCATTACAATTCAAGATGTGCCCACATTCTCCACTCCCGAGTTTGGAAGAAAATTTTGCTATTTGTCTGTGTTTAAATTGAGAAATATCCTGTGTTTTCCATTTTTCACTCACTAGGTTGTTGAAGGTCACTGTGGGATCGGTGCCCTACCATCTGAGGGATGATGGAACACCGTCCTAGAAGGGCTGCCTTGTGGAGCTCCTTCAAGCAACATGAGCAGTGACCTCGTAGTGGATGGGCTTGCCTTCTTCCCAGGGGATAGGGATCGTCTCTTGACCAGGATCTAAAGGAAGAAGTCAGTATTCCATTCAGAGTTTATTTCTTTGTTTAATTTTGAATATTATCATATTCTATATGTACCCCCAAAGATACTAGGAATCCACGAGAACCCAAAGGTACGACTTGATAAAGAAAACTCTCCTTTTCACTCCATTAAAAATATTACACTCCACCTGTGATTAAAAAGAGAAAAACAAATACCGTATGCTAACACATATATATGGAATCTAAAAAAAAAAAAAAAAAGGTTATGAAGAACCTAGGCGCAGGACAGGAATAAAGATGCAGACGTAGAGAATGGACTTGAGGACATGGGGAGGGGGAAGGGTAAGCTGGGATGAAGTGAGAGAGTGACATGGACATATATACACTACCGAATATAAAATAGATAGCTAGTGGGAAGCAGCTGCATAGCACAGGGAGATCAGCTCAGTGCTTTGTGACCTGAGGGGTGGGATAGGGAGGGTGGGAGGGAGATGCAAGAGGGAGGAGATATGGGGATATGTATCTGTATAGCTGATTCACTTTGTTGTACAGCAGAAACCAACACACCATTGTAAAGCAATTATACTCCAATAAAGATGTTAAAACAAAACAAAACAGTAAGAAAAATAAATTCAAAGTAAAATAATTAACTATCAAACTTATTGTCCTGTTTGTGTTTTTAACGTTTGATTAATTTTAACTTAAACACTAAAAAGGAATTTCAAAAGAAATGTCTACTGAGAAGCTCACGGATTTACACAATGTTTTATGTGCATGGTTCAACACATTGGTTTAATTTTAGCCTTCCAAATGTAGTTGCCTCATTTAAGCTACTGTATTCTTTGTATCGGAGTTGACTTTGCACAGCACATCTTTTTCTTGCATCATTATCTAGATGCCATTTAGGATGATTTAAATAATCCATAAGTGATATAGCTTCTAAATGAAGCAAACTTTATTTTTCAGATATGGTAGCTTTGGAGAAAAAGTACTGTGAAAGTTTTGAAGGGTTAGAGCAGAAGTGGGTGCTTGGTATAAATGTGCACTCCGCCTCCAGTGACATGGGCCTGCCCGTGAAGTTCTTCTACGATGAGAGCAGCTCTTTACCCATCAGAGCTGCAAGGAGCTAGCAGGCCCACTTGAATGTCCTTCCTCCCAAACTTACAAAGGAAATACTCCAATTATCTGACTGGAAAGTAAATAAAAGAATAAAATGGGGAAAAAAATCTGCTGCTTTTCCATCATATGACTTCCTACGTTTGAAATCAATCGTACTGAAGAGTGTGGTAGGAACCAGTGTTTTCAAGGACAGCTCTTAGCCCTTCTCGGATAAGATAAGGGAGTAAAGTCCAGTAAGAACTTCTCCTCTTCTTTGTTAGCACTCTGATTCTTAGCCTTGCTTTATGTTCCCCTCTGTGATGGTCAATTTTATGTGTCAACTTGACTGGTCTTGGGGCGCCCAGAGGGAACATGATTTCTGGGTGTGTCTGGGAGGGTGTTTCCAGCTGAGATTAGCATTTGAGCAGGCAGACTCAGTAAAGTAGACACCTTTCCCCATTGTGGGGGGCAGGGCTCATCCAATCCTGAGGGCTGAATATAACAATGGACAGAGGAAGGGAGAATGCTCCCCTGTTGAACGGGGGCATCTCACCTCACCTTCTGTCCCCAGACTGGGATGTACATCAGGGGCTTCCCTGGTTCCCAGGCCTTCAGACGCAGACTGAATTACACCACCCCTCTCTTGGGCCTCCAGCTTGCAGATGGCATGTC